TGAATAGTGGCTCTACTTCAAATTTAAGTCATCATCTTAAGAATCATAAAAATAAAATTGATGTTAATGTAAATAAAAAGCAATGATGTTGGACAGATTTCTTAAAAGTGGCAGTAATTGTGAACATATTGTGTGTACTGTATATATTTAATCAATTAATATATTTACATTTGTAATTTTCTTAATCTGTGACCTGTTGACCCGACAGGTCAGGTCGGGTCAACTGTTTAAAAGTTTGAGTCGGGTTGAGTTGAACCACTGACCTGACCTGACCCGACTTGTTTGGAGCTCTATCAATGATGCTTTTCACTAACCTTCCCTCACAGCCTCCAGACCTGAGAAAGCTGGCATGTTAGCCAAAAAATTGCCTCCAATGATCCTACCTCTAGGGTAAGGATGGCTTTGTGACTAAGTCACAAACTCTGGAGGGATATTAAGAGAATCTGCAAGCTTGTTTCAAGCACGGGAGGTTGCAATTTAGAGCAGGATTGGTAGCCCTGAAATGCATTTGGGCTCTGATGTTAGTAAAATAAAATGGTTAGAATTTTGTTTGGTATGTTTTGTATAAATTAATCATTCCCATAAATTTTCTGTTTCTTTAATTTTTACAGTGTGTAACAAAAATAATGGCAGTTTGCAATACAAATTTGATTTATTTAGAAAATAATAAATTGTTTTTACAAATTGAGTATTCATTTGTTTACACTCTAACAAACATGTAAATAAATAAAAATTTATTGTTATTTTCACTTTTGCTACTTAAAATCTATAAAAACATGGTTAATATAAAGCTTGAAACCCAATGTAAAACTATTTTGCATTTTTGGCTCAATGACATCCATTCAGCTAAAGAAATATATCAAAGAACAAATATTCCCTTGCATACTATTGAACGTAACCTCCAAAAGCTTAGAGAAACAGGTACCATTGAATGTAAACAAAGTAGTGGTAGACCATCGAAGGTTACACGAACTCTTGCACATTCCTTGGGTCAACATATTTGTCATAATTCTGCTTTAACAACCCGTCAACTTTCTTTATTAGCCCAGGAAAAGCATAATATATCGATTTCTCATACTTCTATTTGGAGACATATGAAAAAAAAGGGGTATGAGAGTTCTATACCTCTTGGAACCCCATGCTGACAACTCAACACATTGAAACATGAAAAAAATGGGCACAAGACTATATGACTCTAGATGGTTCCATTTTCCAAAATAAACCTGTTTCGTCTGCATTAAAAATACCAGACAACTGATATTGAGCTGTAATATTTTTTAGATCTTCTTAATATAATGAATTCAGAAATGGGTGCACTACCACTTTCACCTTGTTTTAAATATTGTTTAATGTTATGTCTTTGTTTAAATTTAGTTAGCCAATCTTCTGATGCCTTAAAATCCTCAGTTCCAAGAAGCACTGAGAAATTTTTGCCTTTTCCTTTAATATGTTGCCATTGATATCTAAGCAAGCATCAATTGCCTGTTCCACCCAAATAGCCATTGCTTGGTTGATATTTTCATATCTTTTCTTTTTATTAGCATCAAAAGATTCCGGGTCAACTTCAAGCCATCTTTCTTTTTGATTTAAGATATCAATGACAATGATTTTGCCTATATCAAAGGCTAATGCCAATTCTGCATTTGATGGAATTGGGATTTTTTCTTTTGCAAGGCTGTTAAAGATTTTCTTTTGTTTATTGACATTGAAAAAAATATAGTGAAATTTATTATTAGAAAGTAAGTTGGATTATCAGATAAGTATTTATATAAAATTTCAAATATCAATTATTATAATAAGACATATTATTGATAATGTTCGCAAGATGAAATTGTAACAAAGTCCACAAAGTTTCACTTCCATAATAATATTGTTTTAATTATAATTTTATTATGCAATTCACAATTGCTAAATTAAAATTAATTGTGACTTTATTTTGTCTTCACCAAATCTACAAAATTAGCAATTGTTAATACTAATATTAAATTAAAAACAGATCAAATAAAGAATACAATGAATGTGTTCTTGTAAAAAAAAGGAAAGCAAAAATGATCAAACAATTAATATATTGTAAAAAAGATAGAAAACCTAATAAATAAAATCAAGCAATAAATGTATTGTAAAAAAAATTGTAATTATTTATGGTTGTACAGTACAATAAAAAAAATTTGATCAATGGTCATTATAGAGAGAAATAATTTATATGTAGAACATATGAAGAGATTTTCAGAAGCAGTCATTATATGGTGTAGAGAATTTAATTAGAAAAGTCATTATAGAGAGAGATTTTTAAATAGTAAAAATTCATTAAGGTCGTTATAGAGTGTTGGTTGGTATAGAGAAGGTCAGTATAGAGAGAGTGAACTGTACACTGATGCTTGTGTAATGTGATGATTACACAAACTCGCTGCAACCTATTAAAATCTTGTTATTTGTTTTATTTACCTAATTTAGTAATCATCATCTCGACTTAACATATGACTAAATAGTTTAGTCAATTTAGCCAAATGCTCATTTGAGTTACATAGCCAGCCCTGTTTTATTTGTTTTATTCATTTTGTTCAAATTACTCAAATTATTTGTTATTCAAATTATTTGTTTATTTGAATAAACCTTATTTGAATAGAAACCCTAATTACTACTCAAGATTATGATATTATTTTAGTACAAAGATCTTTAGAAATGTTTAACCAACAATTTAATTACAATATAAAAGAGCTATTGGTTTATTAAGCCAATAATTAACTAAAAAAATAGAAGAATATCAATACTTACTAATAGGCTTTTAGACTATATGATAGAATACTAAGAATATTATTAACTTATCAGTATGCCAATACCCTAATTATTTTTTTTTTAAAGAATATTTTTCAGATATAGATTCTGAATCTGATTGATACCCTATTACCCAATTTGGCATCATTTGACCAGTAAAAAAAGAACCAATAGATTATATATAAGCAAGAAAGATAGGACCCTAAATTAGCACAAAAGAATTTTAAATTATTGTATATTTTAAATATAATTAATTATATATATATCTTTAATAAAACAAACATGACTTAGCTATTTAATCTATTTAATCATTTCCTTGTATGTGAATGCCTCCATACATCAAATATTCATGATGATCATGATTATTATTCAGTATGTTTGATATCATCATTGACATAACAAACAATTGCATCACCCAAGTAGTAATAATGCCAAGGCCATGCATAAATGAAACAAATGAGGAGGATCAAAAAAAAAGATTTCCTTCCTATTGTATAGTTCTTTATAGTGTTCCAAAAAAAGAAACAAAATGGTTGTAAAGGCAGTTGCAATCATTTTTATATGACACAAAGGTAGCAACCATTATCAAAAGTTGCAGCTGGTATACTTAGTTCTTTAAAATGAATAATAAGTCTGATGTTGATTACAGGTGTCAGACTTAATAAAAATTTCCTATCACAAACATGCAATAACCATGCTTTCACATGCCCCATAACCATGGAATTTTTCCACGGGTTAAGCCGCACACATGTTGGAAGGCTTTGGACAAAACTTCTCTTATCTTCCTTTCAGGTCAGGCTTGGCTGTTTATCAAATGGGCATTGATCATTGGTGAGAGTTGGTACTTGTGTAATGCTTTGCTTTATATCACCAGCATTCCACAGCCATCTCTGGTCTGGGAAGATGTCCTTGACAATTGATGCAATCTTGGTAAACTCCAGGACCTGTCCCCCCCTTCCTGGTATTCGATTGCATCATCATATCATTGGGGGACACTAGTCCGATTAGCCTTTTTGTCATGAGGAAATATGTGAGAATTACTGTAAAGTGTTCAAGGTAGTGTGCGCGCTTCAACGTCTGCCAATTTCCGATAATCAAACTTCATATATTGAAATGTCCCTTTTTCAACAGTGTGCTGCCCTGACATTCTTGCAATTATTCATTATTATTTAATATTAATGTTATTATTAATATCGATTACGAAAAGCAAAATACACAATCTTGATAAGAATCTTATAATAACCAAAAAAGACAATGTAAATTTTAAAAAAAAAAGTATCTCTGTCATTAACACGTCTTCTTTAGAGACTCACGTTTTGCCATCTTTGAAAAATAAATTTTTTTCCAAAGTTCGCGTCAAAAAATATCTGTACAACGCATGGAAAAAAATATAACGCGCATTGTGAATTTGGAATCTGTGCGTGAAATTCAAATTAGCCAATCAGAATTTTGTATCCAAACACCACCCCAAAATTTTAATTAATATTAATATTGAGCACGATTTCTTTTTCAAATCATGCAAGGTCCATACACAATTCTATTCAAAAAAGAGAATTTTAATTTTTACCAAATTATTATTAATTATATTATTGATAGTATTTTTAAGAAATGACAAAATCAAAATTTTGGCCTCATTTGTTAAACTGAGTAGAATTGATAATTTCATCAGCTTTGCTTCTAAAAGGAATTGGTTTACTTTTTCTTTATAAATGATAATAAATTATTGACACCTGAATGTGTTTTAAATTAGTGTATATTTATTCTAATTACAAATTAAATGTCCAAAAAATACCAACAATGATGATATGGATATTACAATTGATGGTGATGGAAATGTGGGAAGCGAAAATGATAAAAGTGATGATGATGATGAAATAATTAGAATAGAAATAGTAAAGAAGAAGAAGACAGTGATAGTGATAATAATATTGAAAATTGTATTTAGATATTTATTTTTATATTATGTTTTTTACATTTTTTTTAAAAAAATGTAATGCATAAAACGCGCATGATGCGCACCAAGTGCCAGATAATAGCGTAAACAAAAAATTTATTATTTGAAAAGTAGTGCCAAAGTGGTATTCGTAATTTGATTGTTATAATAATGTAAATAAAGATTTATTAGATAGTTAGATCATATAAGCATGTAACAATAATACACCAATTATAAAAAAATGAGATGATGATAATTAATCTATTTTTTTAAAGCACCTTTGAATTTAATATGGAAAATATATGGTTCCCGAAAATTTTGCAGAGGGCAAAGCTCTCAAAGAATTAGCTCCCCGCATCATTGGGGGGAGAACGTTATGTATAGCACTTTTTTTTTAGATAATTCTAATTATTATCTTATAGTTGACTTGACATTCACCAATTGAATGATTATTATTTATTGAAGAGAATGAGATTATATAACCATTATCGTTGCAGTAATTGGATTCGTTTGTAGTACTTAGTTGTCGGCGGATGGGGACTTGGCGAGGTTGCCGTTGCGGAGGTGAAGGTGGAAGTTGTTGTTGTTGTTGAAACAAAACGGTATTATTACTCTCCTTCTTCCTATTTGGACCATTATATGGATTAAGTTATTACCTAGCTAGCTAACTAAACTATCCTTTTGTTTTTGACTTTAATTAACCTGTGGCAAATTTACAGGCTTATTTACAATAGAGATTTACTACTAGAATTAATAGAATGATGACGAGAATTTTTTATCCTAGCTTTAATAGATTCACACATTAGGTCCTCGTGCATCTTTCAGTTTCCTCGGAAGGTTGGTGGATATTAGCTTGATTGGTATTTTAATGCAATAATAATTAAAAAGTGTTCTATAATGATGAATGATGAATTATCATTTGTTTTTCTGGAAAGAAATATGTTGTAATTAATTTTAACTTTAACAAATTATTCAACTTTATTGGATCTTTATAATTACAAGTAAATTGATAATAATAATATGAAGAAATAATTTTGATAATGAAAAATCACTAAAAAAAGGAATGTTCTCAGAATTATAGAAACCTATCAGTCATCAACTATATAAACTACAAACTTTACAGTTCTTTTCAATAAAACCGGAGAAACCAGTAAGACATGGGGCAAAGAAGATGGGTAATTAAACAAATTTGGATCCAAAAAAAAGAAAGCCCTAAAAAAATATTGATAGGTGTGATCATCCAACGATCAAAAGAAATAGTAATAAGAATTCAAAATGGTATCGACCAAATGTTCATTTTTTACTAAGAGAAAATAACGAATCAACAATACAAAAATTTATGCCCATTCATGGAAAATTAGCAACAAAAATAATAATAGCTATATTCAACGTGTTTTTGAAAAAAATCTATAGATTATTTATTATTCAACTTTAGGTGACATAATAAAGAGCTTAATATTTGAGCCTTAGCACTTGGATATTTAAGCAAAGTTGGCAATTTATAAACTAGAAATTCAAAGCATGAAAATTTTTTTTATGGTTGCCTTAAAGATCTTAAACAATATATAATAAATGCAAGGATGATACTCTTTTATATTTAAGCACTATTCAATTCCGATATTCCTATTAAATTCAAGGTTAAATTGATTATAAATCAGAAAAGCTCAACTACAACATATATATAAATTATCTTTATATATTTATACTATATTAATGTAATATTTTGTTTCTATCATCCATTCCTCATCCAACAATATTTAAATAGTATGTATGATTTAATAATGATATTAAACAATGAAGTTCAAATATTTCAACTTCTTGTTCTTCTAAAAGTGAAATTCATTGGAATAATATATACACATATTTTATATTATAAAATTATTTTAGGTAATAAAGATGAAAAATATGATGGTAACGATTATATTAAAAGCGATCTCAACATGTTGAAGAAAATTTTAATTTTGGAGAGTTTGAAGAAATGAATAAACAGCCTATTATATAGTATGATAATGATAATGGTTATTAATCTTCTAATTTCTAAATCATTTATTTTATTAATTTGTTAAAAGAAATTTATAATGATGAAAAAAAAAAATCAATAGTAATTTTAACGTTATACTTGTTCATATAAAAAATTGATTTCTTATTCTTTGGGTAAGTTTTGTCTTTTGGGAGAAGGTGTTGGAATCATATAAAAATCAAATTCTCAAAATATATAATTCAGAAAAATATTAAAGTCCACTCTCACTGAAATGGATCTTGCGGCTGAGAATTTAAGCCCAATTTATATGTCCCATATATAAATCATTATTGTCTATAATGTATTCTCTCTACAATGGGCATTTTTTCATAAGCCAAATGGCCCATTATAAAAAAAGTGAACTGTATAGAATTGTAGAATTGTCAAACGAACTTATATTTTAATAGATTTATTATGGAAAAATTGAAATTTGGGCAATTGCAAAAATGTAATATAAATAATAATGATTTGTATAATAATAATAGGAAGTTCACATAAAATTAAAAAAAGATTTGATGGATTTTGAAGAAGCAATATATATATTCAAAAAAGAAAAACAAAGGTTCTAGTAAATGAATATGATGAATATAGAGAATCTAAAGATGTCAATAAAAAGAAAAAAAAGCAGTGGTAAAAGACGAATCTAGAGAGTCTAAAAAAGTGAATCTAGAGAAGATTGTAAATGAAAAAATGAAAAAAGTAGCAATGAATGATATTAGTAGACATATTTAAAAATAATGAAATAATTTAATGGATGTGAATATATGAATTTAAAGACGATGAAATATTTAATGGATATAATATTAAAAATGGCAAAACAATTAATGAAAAAAAGGATAAATATGACGAAATATTTGATGATGAAATATTTAATGATAAATCAATTAATTAATTAATGAAAAGAAAGATTTACCATTTAATTAAACAGGTAATAAATGAACCTTTTGAAAAAATTTAAGCTTGAAATGTAGAAACTAATATCTATCATCAAAATCATCAATCTTGTGATTTCTAAAAAAATTATTATTTTATCCATATTTTCTAATTATTTATTATCAAAAATTTTTTTGCCATTATATAGGAAGACTAGGGGTTTTTAATGTAGGAAAAGTCATATTCAATAAGATGTCCAATGGTGAGCTCTCTACTGGTGTATGTGGAATGTCAGGATTCCTTTGGTTTATTATATTGTCTATTTTTGTTATTTTTTCAATGTTTATGATGATGATCCGGTTCAATTTTATTAATGCTTCTACCAGAGAGATCACTCCGTTAATGTCTCCTTTGCTAACCGGCAATCTGATAGAAAGAATTTTGATCATACTGAAGAAAGGTTTATATGCTCTATTGGTGCTATAAACGACAAGTTTTTTTCCTAAATTATTAAGAAATTTAATTATTTTAATTATTATTATATAAAAAATTTAATTATTTGTTATTATTATATAAAAAATAATATAAAAATAAATATACTTACTATACACATGGATAGTGATTATTTCCAATTCATTTAGTATTTTCACACAATCTTCATCCCCATATTCTTTTATAAAATTTAAAATACTGTTCCAACCCTCTTTTGCCATTTTTGCCAGTCGAGATCTATCTTCTTTAATATGTTGTGACAGATAAGCACCACCTGCATGGGGTCCATAAGACACTTCTACAAATAAAAATTCATAACTATATTGCTTTTCTTTATTATAGAAAAGCCACATATAGTCTGGGAATCTCAAAGGACCACCAGATTGGTTGTTACGATCTTTTGTCGATTCGGATGCAGAACCATCACTAAAAAAATATTTATATTTGTTATTTTAGGCAATTCATTCATTTTCATATTTTTTTTATTACATACCTTAATTTAACAACATTTTTACCACTATTAATTGATAAAAACCTTATTGTTGAAGAAATCATATCGTTCCTCCAGGTTTTTTCACTAACCTTCATTTTTTCTTGATAGTTAATCGAATTCCAAATATTATGTCTAAAGACATAGTTAATATACATGTTAATTGAAAGTCTATCATTCATTTATTAGATTTACAGTAAATGGTAACATACATAGAAAGAAGGAATGACACAAGTTCATAATAATATTTTAAATTTGTTGCCATTGGTATTTGTGTGTCTATATTATTCATTAATGCAATGACGAAATGTTCTTGTATGGAATCTAATTTTTCTATTTCAAGTTTAGGAGGTTTAAGTAATTTAGAAAGTTTTTTTGTTTTCAAACGTTCATATAATCCCTTATTGTTGTTCATGAGGTCT